GCTGAATGTGTGTAGCAGTTAAATTAGGATGGAGTGGATCAGAGTTGAAGCAGCAAAGAATATAATGAATAACATTGTGGTTAAGACAAGGTCAGTTTTAAGGATCTTTAATGCGTAGTGCACGGTACATGTATTATGAGACATGTTGTCTCTTTACTAGGTCTCAGCCGCTCCAATTTTGGCTGCAGATTTAGGCACATAAAGTCTGTCTGCCCTGCTTTGCCACCAGCTAAATCACCTTTCCACGTCAGTTTGTTGTGGCTGCAACGTCTAATCTGCCATTGAGATGGGTAGATTATATGTTACAGTGTCAGAGATTCTGACATTCTTTCCTTTAATTTGATTGAAGGAAGTCAGTACATGTGCTGATATGTGTTTGGATTAAACAACAGTTTCTTTTCTTCCACCTCACTGAGAACTGTCTCCTTTTTGGGTTGCTGTAGACAACATAAACTCGCTGCTTTAGTGCTGTCAACTTTTAACAAACACGTTAGTCTGTTTTCCTTATGGTGCTTATGGCACTCTGGAGGAATTCTGCCATTTCAGTAGCGTTGGTGGGGGGAAAAACAATAGATTTTTAGATGCATTGTGATTCTGTCTTTAATCATTGTCAATCGTAAAACATTAAGCTTATGCATGTAAGCTAACTCAAATGCATGTTAATAACAAGCTCATGCATGTTAACTTCAACCTGCCAGTCACTGTACTTGTGTTCATAATGGAAGTAAAGCCATCTGGCTTGTGTCATGATTCATATTAATTGTTGTTGTGAATGTACTACACAGTAGAAAAAGTGTGGAAATCAAAAATTGATATGTACAGAGATGCACTGAGAAACTTTTCTCTGAAACATATCTGTTCCCTCAGCACCTGAACCAAAATAAAATGTTGAGGAACGTACTGTAGGGATTGCCAGCTCTACATTTCAGTTATAATAACCGACATGATTACATTTACAAGACAGTATAGAATTTGAACAGGGCTGCCTCAATGCAGCAAAAACCCTACAAAGAGGCTAAACATTTTGCATAATATCACTCTTTTAACCCATAAATTCAACAGTTTACATTGTTCTTTTCCCCAGAGTCTTCTCATTCTTCGGTAATTGCCATCATCTCATTCCTTTTCTCCACCCCATCCCCCACCCCACCACTGTCTCCTTATGTTTTGTCTGATGCAGCGGTCCAGGAGGAGCGCCAGAGGAACAGAGAGCGCGAAGGAGAGCTGGAGTTCAGTGTCGGAGTGAATGAGGAGATGCCTGTGGAGAAGATTTTAGAGGCAGAGACTGCTGTGGAGCAGAAGACCGAACTTCACTCTGATGGCGGTTCTGCAGGCAACTCTGTGAGTGGTTACAACATTGCAATTAATAGTTATAAGAATAAACCTACCTAAAGTAGTTGTAGGTTAGTAGGTTAAGTACAGGCATGCTGTAAATTGCAGGAAGCTTTGTATTGTAAGTAAACGTGATGCATTTGTTTGGTTTCAGCCCCATGATGCAGTTACCAACATCTGCCAGACTGCAGACAAACAGCTTTTTGCCTTGGTGGAGTGGGCAAAGAGAATCCCCCATTTCTCCGAACTGCCCCTTGATGACCAGGTCATCCTCCTGCGTGCAGGTATGATCGAGCACCTGCAGCCATGAATAACCTGGATGGCACTGCACCTTAAAAATCAACACGGAGAACAGATCCACTTTATGTCTTAGCAAGTTTATCAGAGGAAGATAATAAATGTTGCAGTGTAACAGCTCTGAAACAGTATTAAGGCCAAGGACACTTACTGTTTCAGTGTAAAGCTGTCTTACACAATGACACTGCTAGCTATCACAGTGCTGTGTGGAACTGTTTTAATTAATTTTATTTGCATATTTGAATCAATAACCACAAAGTGATAAATGTTAAAACACAAGGACACATTTATATCCCAGGTAAAAACAGATTTGCTAGCAGAGCCCAAAAAAAAACAGCAAGTTTACCGTCTGCTGCCCTTTACATCAGATCTGAAAGAGAAAGTAACTACAAAGCAACTGGATTGATAACATCTGTGAAAACCCCAAACTATGATAATATTGTAGATAGCTTGAATATTGTTGTTTGTGCATTGAAAGATTCAGTTACAGAGAAAGAATATATTGTAAATTAAAGCACATTAATATATATTTGGAATTATTTGACAAGGTTTTACAACTGCACAAAAACGCATGCAGCTGTAGTGGGATGGGATTGTTGTCACTGTTGTGAGGTCCCTGTTATGTGTTGTCCCAAGAAGGACAGCCAACATTAGAACTATTGTAAAGTTTTTCTCTGATATCACAACTTACCAGTGTTAAATTGTGTTTCATTTGTCAGGGTGGAATGAGCTCCTCATCGCCTCGTTCTCCCATCGCTCCATTGCTGTGAAGGATGGCGTTCTCCTGGCCTCTGAGCTGCAGCGAGACAGTGCACACAGTGCAGGAGTTGGAGCCATTTTTGACAGGTACATCTGTGGAGACAAAAACAATTGCAAACATTCTCCTGTATAAATTGCAACTAGTTTCAATGCCTTTTTTCTAATTTTTTACACATGTGTAGTGTCTGAACAATAACTACTTTCATCTAACACAGGGAGAGTGTGCAGAGTGCAGAGGTCGGCGCCATATTTGACCGGTAATTTGATTTATTTGTAATATTAAAATGAGTGTCTCAGTTAATGAAATCAGTGTAATCTTCTCATTATGGTCTTTGAATTTTTTTCAAAAATCCTGTGTCGTTATTTAGGGTCCTTACGGAGCTTGTCAATAAAATGAGAGATATGCAAATGGACAAAACAGAGCTGGGCTGCCTCCGAGCCATTGTCCTCTTCAACCCAGGTAAATAAGAATGATTAAAAATGTTGTTGTAGGACGTATTAAGTGTCTTGCCGCTAATATTTTCTGTATATTCTTGCAGATGCTAAAGGGCTCTCCAACACCAGTGAGGTGGAGCTCCTTAGAGAAAAGGTCTATGCATCATTGGAAGCTTACTGCAAACAGAAATACCCAGAGCAGCAGGGAAGGTAAACGTCCTCCGCTATGATAAGCTCGATAGTCTTGTTTTTTTTTCTACTGCGTTCATTTTACATTTTAAATTGTCAAAGTTAAACGTCATTGGCGCGCAATTTATCTTGTCAAACTAAACCATGTCCTTTTTGCACCACGCAGGTTTGCTAAGCTCCTTCTTCGACTGCCAGCACTGCGATCCATTGGCTTGAAGTGCTTGGAGCATCTCTTCTTCTTCAAGTTAATCGGTGACACGCCTATTGACACTTTCCTCATGGAAATGCTTGAAGCTCCCCATCAGTTGTCTTAGATAGGAAATGCGTACTGTGGCTAGGTTTAGATATCTGAAGTCTGAGAAGCTTGAGTGGGACTGGCGTGGCACTTTAAGTTCTTTGAAGATTTGTCAATTTGTCTCACTGCTGTCTGGGTTGCACTATTTTAGTGCAGTGCAGATTTGCTCTTTAGACCAAACCCAAGGCTTGGCATGATCTACAAGCTGGTGCTATATGTTGAAATAAATTCATGAGTAACTATGGTTTTAAAAAAAGGAAAAAAAAAGAAGGTATTTTTAAAAATGTAAACATTTACATATTTCCCTCCACAGGAGCTATAATTTGGGAATACATTTTTATATAAGCTTTTTTGACACCTCAAAAGTTAAGCTTCAGTTGTTTGTCCAACTGAACTGTGATCCCTAAAACCTCCTTGTTTTTCTTTTTTTGGTTTTTTAATGGAAGGCAACGTGAATCGTGAGTATGCATTAAGGACGTATTCGTCTTTTTATAATTTCTAATTCAAGACAGATCTAAAAATATATAATTGTACCAAACAGTCACCGGGTACTGTGTCCAAAAGCAGCTCTGAGTTTACTTGCAAAAGTTTAAATCCTAACAGTGAGCCTGGGATAGAAGACGAGTCAGGTCTGACTTGTCTGTGTTGAGGATCAGCTTTATGTGTCTGGTAATATACAGTTAGTGTTGTTTACTTCTTTGCCATTTCATAAATTTAATCACTTGGTGGTTAACAATTAAACTGCACTGCATACTTGCTATGTACTATTTCTAAATGCTATTTCTAAAACTTTAAATACATGCCTGGCCTGGCCTGGCAAATGGTCAGGTGTTTGTCTTTTGGTGCTATTTCTGAGATAATTTGACATTATTGGTGCAGATGCACACCAAACCACAAACCTAAGAAAATATGCAAAACTGAAAGTCCCCTTGTTAGTAATGTAGCAATATAAAATGTAAACTGCATAAGAGCTTTCTGCCTGTCAGTCATTCAGGGGTTTTACAAAGTAAATCATGTCTGGTGGAAAGGGAATACTCCATTTTGTAATTTATCTATACAATTGTAAGGTACTGTGCAAAAAAATTGTTCAGGGAAAATGTATATTGACAAATTTGAATTATGATCAGGAGATACAAATTATATAATTCTTAATATGTGCCCTTGTTTTTAGTTTTTAACTAGTGTAAAGCAGAACATGTCTTGGGTTGCACTGGATTTGCTGAGACTGTTTCAGCTGATTTTATTTTGTATTTTTTTTCGTGCTTTTTGATGCTCAGTTGTATTTTCCTTTCCCCCCCTCCTTTTTTTTTTTTTTTTTTTTTTTTTTTGTAGCTGTCTTGTTCATCGTAATGTCTCTGCAATTTATTAAAAGCAAACCATAATCACATTTTGATCCATAACACCTGTGGACGTATAGGAATTTTAAAACAAGACCAAATGAGGTCTGTATGATGGCCATGTATAAAACACCACATGAGCTGTAAGCTTGTCATCAACCTCGATATGCTCTTGAACATAAAGTGACTTGAAGCATGGGTTGTGTGGACTGAAAATAAAACGGCTTAAGTTTTTTTATGTTTGCTTTTTCTTCCCCAAAAATGTTGGATTTAACAGGTATTTTCCCCTGGAGGAAACTCAAGATTTTAGGGAACAACGCAATTGAAAGATGATTAAAAAAAAAGATTTGTCAACAGATGTTTTAATGAGCCTTTTTATTATAGTTGTTACATAATTTTGCTGTGGGCATAGACGTAATAGAAGCCTTGGTTTTATAGCACTTGTGACCAAGTCCACAGCGATGTTATGGCACAGGCAGCGATGTGTTTGTGGTGGGGTTAAAGTTAAATTAAAATAAGAAAATCTTGAGTGCAATGAAATCAAAAGGCTTCTAAGGGATTTCACAGGACTAGCAGGTGAATTTGCGCGTGTGACCACAATCGTTCACTCTTACAGTCTGTGAAGTAAAAGGTTTATTAACACGCACAAACCCCACAGCTTTGAGAACCAAAGTGAACCTCCCTCTGTAACAAGCAGAAGTGACACCTTTTTAAACCATGCATGGCTTGGTTTACTTTAAATTATATTTAGAATAATACTGCTTTTAGTCTATAATACACTATTCTACACATGGAGCAAAAAAAACAACACGGAAGAGGAACATAAAGACATTGTCATGACATGTACATCATTTTACAGCATTCCCATTCCTATATTACTTTACACTTCTATTCTGTCTTGGTTTTGACAGAAATCAGTACAATCTGGGAAACACAATGAGACACCCCCCCTAACTAATAAGCTGCATGCTACACATTGAGTCTAAGGTGCTGAATAGATTTCAGTAAATTCTAAACAAAGCAAAAACAACCTGTACTGCTGCTGGTGTGGTTTTATGTAGCTTTATCATGCGCTAGATTCTTGTTTCTCTCGATGGCTATGTTTCCATCACAGTGAAAACGTGCAAGTGGATGCATTTACTTTGCCATGATATAAACTGAAGTTATGTGTGTTATAAATTTAATTCCATTCCAAATTCATTAATAGCACAATGAGCTCATTGATAGTTCAGTAACAGACCTACGTAATCAGAAAATTAAACTGCGGCCGCTTCCTCGTTCACTTTAATACAGATTTACATGTTTTAAAATAGATAGAAAATGGAGATTCTATGTGCGTCCATATTACTAATTATAATGTAACCCCTGATGTTGACATTCATAGTTGAGAGTGAAGGAATACTCCTGTTATGTCCTGTGAATGACAAACCAAGATCTCCAGTGATGCCAGCTTAACTACACCATAATTTGGCCTGGTCTATTTTTTTAACTCATATTTTACCTAGATCTCGTCTAGAGTGGAACAATGCACGTCCAACAGGATACAGCTAATGTGCATAACCAATTCCTAAGATGTCATAAATACCGTAAAGCTATCTTCATAACAAACCATTTGAACACAAACAGAACTTTTTGCCAGGACAAGTTAAAAAACACTGGTTAAAAATAAATCACAGCTCGTGAATGATGTACATTGCAATATTATCCCCCCCCACAGACTGCACATCTGTAGTAACATTTTCTTGATTATATGTCCCTGAAAACATCTTAATAAATAACTCTAAAAGGCACTGTGAAATGTGCAGCTCATAGTTTCTAGTAAAATAAAACTATGTTAACTCTATGAAGATCGCTCACCTGTAACGCTGCGCCTGCCCTCCTCAAACTGTTCCCAACTGTGAGAATAGGTCACGTAATGCAACTTTGTTAGGCTAACAAGTTTTGCGTGATGACCATTTGTCTGAAACTAGTGGTATCACCGGTCTTACCCACAGTAACTGGACTGTTGACTGATCTTTACAGAATTCTTTCACTGATAAATTCTTTCTCATCCAGTCAACTAAAAGGCATTTGACAAAGCTTTAGATGTACATCTGCCATGAATCTGCCCACTTTGATAAGACATTAAAAACTGTGCTACTGTTTATTTATTTGCTGGTTAAAGTATTGGGTTTATTTCCAGATTCAGATGTCAGAGTGGTTCATCAGTGTCAAGGATTTCACATTCCATTGATACCCAACTTTTACTTCCAGTGCAATTATTCCTCATTTGAGCACCTTCTTCAGCAAAATAAAAAGAAACACAAACCTACTACAGTAGTATATAACAGAATAACACTGCACAAAGCCATCTATTCAATAGATGTGATGTCTTTCAATTCAATTTGTCACTAAAGCTGCAGGGCCGACACTAAGGTTTTGTTTAGGAGTTAAGTGTCTGTACCACACTTCTTGCCCTTCGGATTCAGTCAAGGCCACAGAGGCTGAAGCGTACACAACTCTTTTGATGCCCCCAGCCTTAAAGAAACCTCACATTTTTGTGCAGGAGTTTGTATGCAATGTCACGTTCGAAGGATGATTGTGGTTAAGCCTTGTGAGTGTAGATGATTGATGTTTATCCAGCAATAGCAAAGCTTAGTGGTTTGAACGCAGCGCTCCGTTTTTGCTCTCTCCACCCGTCAGTTCATGGATAAAGTCTTGTGCAGCCTTTTATCCACTCTCTTGAGGAAGCACTTATGTCAAGCAGATGTAAACCAAACATGTAAACATGAGGTCAACTCATCAAAGCTTTGGGGGGGAGGGGGGTTAGTGCCAAGCCAGAGTGGAGTGGGTTGCTGGGTTGAGCGTCAGAGGGGCAGTGAAAGGGCTTCCAGACCAGACGTCTTTATGTCCAGCTCACACCTGCACCTCTGAACCGCTGGACAAGCCAAGAGCGCTTGCCTCCTCTGTTGTCAAACCGTTCTTCAGTGTCCTCCTCACTGCGCAGACAGGAAAGAAATATAAAGGGGAAGTGCAGAGAGAATGAAACTGTGGACAGTACAACTTTTTGATGAGCGTATTATTACAGTGTTTGCACATGTAGCTGATAGCACTCCTCTGTGCAGCATAACAAATTATGCCACTTGTCCAATAGTCAACATGACTCACATGATTTACGGTTGGCTCGGGATCGTCTCCTCTCCCGAGGTTGCGTCCGTTGTCCGGGCCCCTGAGTGGCTGACCTAACAATCCTCTCCATGATCTCATCTGCTGTATCATCTGTGCAGTTCACTGGGTCGTCATTGGCAGAGCACCATGGGGGAACACGCCCTAAAACAATAGATCATAATGGATACAACAGGGATATTGCATGGTAGGACATCATCAGCATACAAAAAGACTAAATTCAGCCATACAAGTATTGGACAAAAATCTGTTGATGGCACTCAGGATCACCAAACTTTTCATCCTAAGGGGAACATGAATGTGTAAACTTGATGGCAGTCCATCCAATGGTTGTAAATACATTTCACTCAAAACACAAACTTGAACGTATTGTGCATCTAGAGAAGAAGTCAGGGATCACCAAAGTCAATACGGATTTATCATCTGGCAACCATGAACGTCTGTACAAGATTTCACAGCAATCCATTACACATACCTGTTGAGAAATTTCAGTCTGGAGCAAAGAGCAGGACAGACTTACAGACATTGCCATCCCTAGCGCCACATTACCAGTTCTAGTGAAAGATTAGCTTAAAGGTTTCAGGTAGAATTACTTTAGTAAACTAAAATGCTCTTGTGCTGCTGGAGCGGTTATGGCCCCAGAGGAATGCAAATCAGTGTAGTGTAGTGGCTGGATGATAATATAAAGGCTCTGTAGGGGCTGTAACAGTGTAACATGTTTATGAGACTGACCTCTGGTGCTGCTGGCTCTGGTGCGAGTACGGAGGCCGGGCACCGTGGATGTCCCACTATCTCCACCCTTCGGGCTACTCTTTAGTACGGCCTTCATGTTCTCGTGTTCAGCTACATCTTCAGCATACTGGATACCCTGAGGTTGGCTCTCCTGTGTGTCTGATGGGGCACCGCCAAATTTACCACTCTGGAGGGGGAGGGGGACACAGGATTACAATATCTACTAATATATTATTAGTAGGAGATGGTGAAACTCAGGTCCATGCTCTGGCACTTAGTATTTGGGAAGAACCATGAGGAAAAGCTTTAAATATTAAACTTGTCACACAGGTTAATCTTTACTAGTTACACAGCACTAACACAACAATTAGTCATTTCTAAGAGTCAAAAGTGCCACATACACGTTTAAAGTGATACAAACAAAAAAATTCAGAACGCCCTTTTCACCGTGACTCTCGCCACAATGCAGACATGCCAGTTTCAAGGGTTCAGATTTGAGTCGCTCTGAGGTCTATTCATTTCTACCAGGAAGAAGTTGCGAATCCTCCTATTGAGACTCTCTCAGCACTTCAGCTGACATCATGCGACCAACTTTTTCCCCCCTCTCCTTGTGATCACCTTCAGGCTTCCTCATTCATTTAAGGTCACACTAACACACACACACAGAGCACCTGTCTGATGACATGTCTTTTATTAAACCTACAACATACCAGTTATTGTTCAGTTATGCCTACACATTCTGGTTGAATATTAGTCACAACAAAGTTCACATGCACTTGTTTGCACACAAACTTACACCCCTACCTCACTATCATCGTCATCCTCACTCTACAGAGAGGAAAGGAAATGGAATATCGTTGTGAATATCGTTTACTGCTGGTATCAAGTGAAAACTTCATCTACAAAGTGACAGTTTTTTAGGCATTCTGCTTGATAATCATACGCTACAGTTATCTAATTGGTTTTGCAAAGGTTGTAGCATTTTCTCAAATCATAAAGAAGAATGTAAAACTTGATTTGAGGAATAGTCAACATTTTGGGAAATATTCTTGGCGAGAGTTAGATGAGAAGACTGACACCATGCTTTATCCAGCAATTATGAAGCTGGACCCAGGAGCTGGTTAGCTTAGCTTAGCATTAAGCCCGGGAACGGGGGGAAACAGCTAGCCTGGCTCTGTCCGTAGGTAAAACAATTAATTAGCCTACCGCCACCTCTAAAGCTCACTGATTAACATTTTATATCTTGTTTGATCCGAATAAAAAACACGTGTTTTTAATTGGTGTTATTGGTAGTCAGATTTTGTTACCTTTGGGCAAAGCTAAGCTATGTTTGTCCCCCTGCTTTCAGTCTTTATGCTTGGCTAAGCTAACTGGATGCTGGGTCCAGCGTCACTTTGAACAAACAGATGGGAGAATTGTATCCATCTTCTCATCACACTATCAGCAACAAACCGAATACAGGTATTTCACAAAATGTAAAACTATGCCTTTAAAATTGCTATGAGATTCTCACCCCCCCATACCATAGAAAACACCGCACATATGTTATAAGCTATAAAACAAAAGAGCATATTTGACTGAGCATCTTTATAAGAGTGTGGTTAAGGTGTTGGCCTTGTTATTTCTCCTTCAGGGACATCCAAAGGTTTGAATTTTCACACAGTGATTGAATTATGGTCCCTTTGAAGAGAAAGAGGCCCCTGCCATGGCTCGCTGGGGAGTCTGCTCCGAGCAGACGACTTAAGGGATTTTAATCATGCAGGGAGGTGTTTGCTCTGGCCTTTCCAAGCCTGCTGCAGCTACAGAATGAGATACACTAAAAACAACTCACTGATTGTTGTTACAGTAACATATACATATGAATACCGAGAAACTATGCTGATGTCATTACAAATGTACGCCACGTCTGTCAGAAACGGCCACGTTTGGTGCTTTAACCAGATTAAAGACAGAACCAGTATCTAGGGATTGCTCATATTGTTTCATAGAATTGAGACGGTACAAACTAAACAAAGACAAGAATCAGGAAATGGAGAAAGTGTGTGTGTGTGTGTGTGTGTGTGTGTTTGTGTGTGTGTGTGACTCTTGCTGGTGGTAAAAAGCACTTACATCTGTTATCATTTTTCCCCTGGTCTTGTTCCTCTCTCGGTGGTTGGCCCTCTTCTGTTTCTGTTGTAGCACGCGCTCTCTTGTTGTGCGATACTCCAGGGCAAATTCACTCAGGATCTTGCTAAACCGATGAATGCTGACCTCACGTACTGCATATATCGGATGGCCCAGGAACAGCAGAAAGGCATGAAACCTGTCGATGTGTAGAGAAAACATCACATCACTGTGCAATGATCCTTTGGCAGAATCAAAGTTTAAATAAAGTAACAAAAGTCACCATGAACACCGAAACATTTTTGAAAAATGCCTTTGAAACAGATATAAATACTAGCGACAATATATGAAGTTTTGGCATAATGGAAGAAATGTTCAATCTAATCCTGCATGGAGTCATTTGATCTAAGCCTGAACATACCTGTTGATTATTCTTCGGTGTACAATCTTCAAAATAATGATTCTCTCTGCACAGTCTTTGAGGAAGTCTGACATTTTTTGTTTCAATGCCGGTTTCATCTCATGTTTCGCAATGACCTTCAGGTGATCCCATGATGCTTTGCACCTTCGCTCCATCTGGGCCAGATTGTCTTGAAGCTGGTCAAAGTCCACCTGACAACAGGATCACAGACAGAACTCACTACAGACTGTTATATATGACATTTGAATTTACTGCTGCAAGTAACAAACTGTTACTGTGGACAAATCATTTAATGACTAAATAATAACTAAACAAGGCGAACCTTGGTCAAGCGGGTGATAGCTCCTATCTCAGAGTACAGGTCAGTGCTGTCTGGAAACTTCTCGACCACGATGGAGCAGGCGTGGTGCAGCAGGGACTGCTTGTGAACCGTGTCCTTCACCTCCGGGACTTTCTCCAAGTAACTCAGCTCAAAGCCTTTAGCCTAGAGATGCATGCATACACAGGAACACAGTCAGAATGTAGGACGGAAACAACTGTCTGGAATTAAAAATCAAAAGCCCCTATTCAAGGACCAAATTGCAGTGAATTTCCTTTTTGGCACAGTCAGAAAAAGGAGCTCAATGGAGTGTAGATATGTAGATTCATTAGGCTGGTGATTATCAGAAACCACAATCTACTACAGACCCGACCAATTGTTCTGCTCACCATGGCGGAGCAAAAAAAAAAAAAAGCCAGAACATATCATGAAAGACATAATCCCAACAGGATCCCCCTTGTTCTTCTGCCAGTTTTAAATGGCTTACTGCAAACTATAAATGTGGCCATTATTTATGGGAACTACTTGTTTTGATGTTGATGACTTATGTTTCCCTTTTGCATTTTTGGATCTCATATTCCCAGAAGTTCACTCATACATAGACATATGCACCAATGCAGTCGCACAAAAGGCACACGCAAGGCCACAGAAAGTCACAAAGTCAGAGACGCAGAGGCAAAATTACACACAAGCAGACGAACAAACACAAACTGTCAGAAAACACACAATAACACAACCTCCCTTCCCCTTTTCCTCACAGAGAGAAAGACAGACTGACAGACAGACAGAGCCAAGTTCATCAGAGGCCTTCACAAGTGCTTTTACTGTAGAAGGACAGTTTCTGGTGCAGTCAGGCAGCACATTCTTCTACACATAGAGAGTCCACTGTTATCCTTGCCAAATAAATATGTTGGCGGGGAGAAAGGGGAGGAGGCGGAGCATGGGAGGAAATGGAGGAAGTGAGTAAAAGACAGAGGGAGGGAAAGTGAAAAAAGAGGAACCTCTAAGCTATATATGTCTTGAGGGTTACTCACATTAGTGCTGTTGAGAAAGTTCCCTATGGCTAGCAACGTGGTCAAGATATAACGGAGTGTCTTGTTTTTCTCCAACTGGTCCATCCCTTCCTTCAGGTCTTGCAGGGGCTCTGCCACTTCCTAAAAGAACATAAAATTGCAGGCATGAAGCACATTAATTATCCTTGCCCTGTTCATGTTTCTGCCAGTTTACTACAATTGTAGAAATCAAAGCCTGTTTACAGATCTTGAGTACTGCCACTGCGTATGTGAACAAAAGTTGTATAAAGCCTTTAGTAGCACCAGAGGGAGCTGCTTGAAGTCTGATAAATTGCCTCAAGTGATGTCGATTGAGGTTGGGGCTGAAAACTACAAGTTTGAAAATAAGAAAGGAGTGCTGTTACCAGACCTCTGTAGCCCGCTCCTCGTCTCTGCTTGAGGCTACATTGGTCACTATTTGCATAACACACCCGAATCTCTGACTAAACTGTCAGCCCTCGAGTTGCATTGAAGAAGGAGTGGAATAAAAAAGATCTCTGGTTCTGCTTCATCGATGCTATTGATCGAGATTGAGTCTGACAATATTAAAGGGGTGCAATGCCAAATTGGTGGGATACTCTTTTGAAGACTCTTTTAAGCTCTTTTAAGCTCTTATAATAGTTACAAATGTTATAAAAACGCTTAATCACTTTCATGCCAGGAGTTAGATAAGAACATTAATACTGCTTTCATGTCTGGACAGGAAACATGAAGCTATAGCCAGCAGTCAGTTAGCTAAGCTTAGTATAAAGACTGAAAACAAAGGGAGACAGCTAGCTTAGCTCTGTCGGCTAGCCAAGAAATAGTCCCCTGTGAAACAACAAATTGTTGTTTTAGTCAGATTTAGAGGTGTTGTTAAGTAGATTTGTTAACTTGTTGTTACCAGGCGACTCCTCTGTTTCCTGTCTTTATGCTAAATTAAGCTAAGCAGATGCAGCTTTATATTCACAGTACAGACATAATAGTAGTATTGATGGAAAGTATACTTAAATGCCTTGTTGCAGAGTTAGATGAGAACTAACTTCATTAACTAAGGGCATTTAAGTTTTTTTTTCTCCAAAATATTCCTTTGATATTATAAAGTAAAACAACACAAAAAGAACTGTAAAGAAGAAAATAAGTTCTGAACTTCTGTAACTTCCCAACATGTGATCTATCTGCACTTGATTTAAGTGAACAGGAATGTGTCTGACCTTCTCAATAAGCTCATAGTCCATCTTGAATGCCCACAGCTGTAGGCGAGCAGACAGCTCCGTGATGGAGGAGAGGGTGAGAAGGAACTGTTCAGCACTGCCTAGGGGAATATCTGGGTTGACCAACTGAGCCTCCTGGATCCTCTGCTTCTCCTCCTCTGTCGGGATCATTGTCAGGATTTTCTAGGAGAGTGAGGAAGAAATGAGAGGAGGTGAGGGGAAAGGAATAGGCTTATGCGATCATTCATCAAGTCAGACATATCAAATGTTTTTCAATACCTGAGTAATATTTTTAAATAATATGTCAGGGGGTAAATCACAGAGAGAGAGAGAGGAAACAAACAGATTCGGACATTTCTATTTTTTTTATCTGAGATGTTTCCAATTTGACATCTGCTCAACTTTCAATGTCGCTTTTGTTGTCTGACTGAAAGTATCTCCAGAGACAAAAGGTGGAGAGGAATACTCCTCTCTGCTGAGATTGAACTCAAGGTGAAGCTCTGAAAACTATAGATTATATAATACCAAAGGGACGCAACATTTATCATTATCTGCTGATGTGAAGTCCCTCAAAAGTCTATAGTAAGGTTTTTAAAACGAGCTGAAAATATGCCTGTGGAGCTAACCTTTAATCATCGCTGTAATTAATTACATGAGAACAGCCATGCAGCCAGCCATGCAGCCAGCCATGCAGCCAGCCATGCAGCCAGAAAATCATATGATATGTCAACGTTGTGGGCCACCCTATCTAGAGGAGTTAAATCTCTCTTGTTTGAGGAAATCCATCAGTGTACTGAGTAAATATTATTCAAGAAAACCAAGTTTATTTTGGACCCAGTGAGCTTGAATGGGTTTTTATTCGATGGACTAGACAGTACTTATAATATGCAGTACCATTTTAGATACAGTGTTTGTCTTGAGACTTAAATCTTTGAAATAGCTTACCTCAATCCCTTCCTTGTTCAGTGCGTACTCATCAAAGTTGAGGATAGCGGTCTTGATGGTGCGGGGAGGAGGTAAGACAGTCAAGCCGATGTTTATAGCATTGCTGCGCTTTGAATCCAGGACTATGATTTCTTGTCGTTTGCCGTCAACAGCTGCTTTCTATGAGTGATACAAAATATGATCATAGGCTAAGGGTTCAGATTTTTATATTATATCATTTATCTTGAGTAGAGGAAGCAGTTCTTAATGGTTTAAAGATGCACTACACAAAGTATGTGTAAAAACACACCGACCTATCAGCCTTTATCACAAAATGGAGATGTGCATGTTGCAGTAACAACCTCACATAGGATTTTCAAGTGACAGTGATGGCTTAAGTGTTGTGCTACTGCCAAAATTAAAAAAGGATCTTCCTTTGGGGAACATTTGCTCAGTTTTTTTTTTGCAATTATGTGCAACACTGAGAAATAATCTTTGAAAATTTGATAGTTTAACCAAAGGGGGGTGCTACAGGAGGACTTTTATTAAAATAAAACTGTATCCTCTTGGGAGTATGAATGAACAAAAAATGCAAATTAATGAATGGACAGAGATACTAGTAAAGAGCTGAGTAGTCATCATTTTCCTATTTTGTGAATGACACTTTCCAACTCATAGGTGGGCCCATCTGCTTAGTATATTCGTATCTTCTCTCTCACTACTATTGAGAAGGGTTTTACCCATTTGAAATGGTTGTCCTCATTTATGTGAGAAACCCAGGGTGACAGTAGTTTGCTCAAATTTACCACTGAGTTCACAAAATGATCCTTTCAAATATGGTCGCAGATAGCAGGAAATCCAGAGCTATGTGAAAGAAACCAAGACAAATCAGGACCACTGCTTTCCCCAAAAGTATATCGTAATACTGTATGGTTCTAACTTCTGCTGTAACAGCAGTACAACACCAAGTTACCTTTGTGACAGGCAGCTCCTTGGACTTAGACTCAAACAGCTGTTCCAGCTTGGACGTGTCCAGTTGAATTGGCTCCAGTTTGGACCAGAGGGACTCCTTACATAATTTATGACTCTTGCACTGCCAGTCCATGGGACGCACCTCGTTCCAGAAGAGACGGATGGTCTTCTTCTTCTTTTGGAAGAGAGGCATCTCCCCTCGACTTAGCTGAGGGGAGGGCGGAGGGATAGGGGCCATGAATGGCGGGGGTGGAGGCATCATTTTGCCAAGGATGGGAGGAGGAGGGGGGCACCCAAACAGGGGCGGGGGTGGTGGCAGGGCAGCATTGCATAGTGGTGGGGGAGGTGGTGGTGTCAGGTCACCTGACCCAATCACAGTGTCCATATCTACAATGCCTACGTCATCCTCATCCTTCAGGTCTGTGAAGTCCATTTCTTTGATTCGCAGTTCCCTGGGTGTGGCCATCAGCTGATCCCAGATATAATCTGACTCTTTCTTAGGGGGTAAGGTTGATGAGGCAGCAGTTGATGATTTGTCCGTCTGCTGCTGCTCTTTTGAGGCCTCAACCTCAGGAGGGGACGTCAGGCCTTTGACCAGATCTCCAAACTTCTCCGCCACTGCTCGGACACTGCCCTGGTTGTCCAGATGTCCCACCTCCATTTTTTTCACATTTTCTTCTCTGGCCTGTCTGTGAGCCTCCAGTGTGGAGATCCTGCTGGCCAAGCTGGCCACAGAGGAGTCACTGACCTCTGCCTCTTTCTCACATTTACAGTTTTCTTTTTCCGTTTCCGCTACATTCCCTTCATCCTTGCTGCCTGTCTTCTGAGCGTAGAGCATGTCCAGCATGAAGCGCTTGCTGTTGAGTATTTTGTTGCACTGGTCGTTCACGTCCGCGTCTTTAATGCACTGGGTCCATTGGCCTGTTGAAATAATGTTGACATTGAAATATACATAGTGGATTATCAAAGTGAGTGAATAAAATCATCCATCATACCTGCTTCAATGTCATTGGTGAGTTTCTCCTCCCGCTCCTCCCTCTCCAGAGTGCTACTTGTAGAGGAGATACTGGACGCGGAGCAGTTGTCCTTCTCATTCACTTCCTCGTTCTGTCTCTCCTTCTCACTCAGCAGTACACTGTCTTCTATATCCCTTTCCGTCGGCTGCTCCTTCTCAAACTCCTCCGCTAACTCAACATCCGCCTCCACCTCTGGCTCGCCCACGTCTGCTACGTCTGCTACCTCCGCTACCTCCGTTTCCTCTACCTGCTCTTCCACCGCTACCTCATCCGTGCACTGTTTCTGTTCCTCAAACTTCTCCTGCTCTTGCCTCTCTTCTTTCTCCATGCCTGACTGTTCATCTGATGCCGGCTCTGCCACTACATTCTGGCCAGACTGAGTCTCAGCAACATCCTCTATCTTTGCCGGCGACTCTGTCTCAGTCCGCTGCTTGTCTGGTTCCGGGGGAGGTGTGGGGGAAGGTTCTGATACCGTTAACTCTGGCGCTGGACTTCTGCTCCTGGTCTGTGGGTCAAGGTTTGGCTCTGAGATATGTTCTGTTCCTGGAAGAGAAATCAAAACAAAGTGGGGGAAAAAAATGTTACTTAGACTTCAGCTATGTGCCCTTTATATTATTATCTGATAGTATTCAGAAACTTTTATAATTAAAACAGCTTTCAATAGCTTCTCAGCAATCCTAAACTGCACCGAGAGATTGTCAAAACTCAACATACATATTCAGACTGTAGAAGTAATTCACAAAGCAATCATCAAATTCTGTTACCATGGCCAATGACTGAAAAATACTATGTGAGTGGTTGAGAGAGAGAAAAAAAATCGTTTAATTTGAGTTTAGTCACCAAAGAAGTACATTTTAGAAAAGTAAACTACTGTCATATTGAAAGAAACAAGCCTTTTTGATTGCAGCCATGACAAATGACACAATCACTGAGGCTGTTTAATCAGAACCTCATTTCAACCATTTCAAAAGTGTTAATGCCAAGTGTGTGTGACAGGTGCACTGACAGCCAGAATTGCCTCTGCAGTCCAATGTTACAGTCTATTCAAGCTCACATCTACTACTACTCTAATAATGAATAAATGGTTTGTGAATATCATTTACCTGACGTCTGGTGTGCAGCGGCGACGGTCTCTTCCTGTGAGATAATAGGCGAAGGTGTGGGACAGCGGGACACTGAGCGGCTGGCAGGGTTGGAACTCAAACACAAAGTGATCTCTGTCCGTCCTCTTGTTGGCACTCTGGGGCGCTCCCGCTCAAACTCCTCTGTAGCTAGCCTCTCCACAGCCTTGTATCTGCAATAACGAAATGTAGCTTAAGCCCAAGACCATCTATAGCAGCTATGATACAATGATAAAGCTTTCAGATAACTGCACACTGTGGTTTAGCTGCATGCTGGTGTGTCCTTAATGTTACAGCTGATTAAATCTCAATTTAGTCATTTTATAGCTGTGGTATAATCAGATAGAAACACACTTGAAATGGAATGAAAATTGGCATTGTTTAGCTTTATTTTCTCAAAATGAACAACTAAATGATTGTCGGGAAAAGGCTACTCAAGTTTTAGTGGTGTGCATTCTTATAGTCTTTTAAGCGTAGAGAAATTTATACCATCCTCATTTTATAACAGGCCTTCAAAGAAGTTGAAAATTTGTGAATAATAGCCACAATGCCATTATCTATGCTGTGAACAAATATCAAATGTTTGTTCTTTTCCTGGGTAATTATGGAAATTATTGAACTGCAATTCCATTAATCAAGGACTCCAATAATGTCAAATGGCATTACCAAAGTGCTCTTGAACATTTTCGGCTAGTGTTTACTGATCTCAGGTCACACATTATTGTTCCTGTTCACAGGGGTGAAAAAAATGTAAGGGCATAAGAATGAGCTATAAATTATACATTGTGCACACATTCACACACAGACACAGTCAGAGGGAGATAACTGGACCACGTCCATGCCAAAACACAATTACACACTTGTCCTATTAACTTTAGGATGTCTTAATGGTGAGCAGGCCTGAAGGGGCTCTGACACTTATAATTCAGCCTGAGGCTGGGTGAAACCAATGTTACATCTGCTATCAATTTGAAAATAGGATTTCAGAACATTCAAAAACCTCCTCAGTTGTTTGATCTTCCTTCACAACTGCAGCATTACTGTGGATCCATGTGAACCCATGATATAAAGTACACTCACCTTTCGTCTCTGGCGTGTTTTGCTTCTTCCCTCTTGTCTACATAATCTCGACTGAGATAGAAAGACAGAAACAGAGCCAGAAGAGAGTAACGAGAAGACTATTTAGGAACAGTGTTTGTAGTATTTACAAATTAATATTTTATTTAAAATCTGATTATTGCTTGATTTTATGGGGAAGAGCAAAGAAAACAGATCACCATAAAAAGCTAAGACAAGACACCTGAGCAGAACATTTGCGATGAATTAGTATATCTAATGATCCTTATAAAGCTTTTATCAGAATCTTGAAAGATTTGAGTCAAGACTGGAGGCACCTGTTCTTAAAATTACACATGCCAACATGTCTTTACTGGCTCTACAGCTGCCAGCAGTACAAATTGAAGAAATAATATATCCTCTCTGGCATGAAGTCATGCAGTGATTTGTGTGATTCGTGAGGTGAGACTAACTTGAAGCGGTTCCTCTCTTCTCTTTCGATTCTCTGCAGACGCTCCTCTCTTTCCACACGTCTCCTCTCTCTCTCTGCAGCCAGAGATTCCTGATGCTGTCTGTATGATGAAGTCAGCAAGCCCCCTAAACCAGGTCTACGGGGCAAAGAGAAAGAACAAACGTGATTACGTTCATATATGGAGTGGTGATTGGTTTGCTTTTTGATTTAGGTATTTGCACATCTGTTCAAACAGGAGCTTTCCAGATGAGGCAAGCTTTTAATCAACTGTATCTACAAAATGTTCTAGCTGTGGAAAAGCTGAGATGCCAACCTGTCAACCGGCTTGGATTCTGGTGTGCAGGTTGCTGAACTAGTGAAGCGATGGATGGGTGATGTGTGAACCTGGTGCCTGCCAGGGTATGGAGTGCCATTGGCACTGATTCTGTTAAAAGAAGGGGAAAATAAATGCTTTGATCTCTACTACATTTCTACTGAAAGACAGCAGAAGAACATCAATTCAAGAATCTGTAATGATGAGGTGGTACGAATTGCAATGTCATACTTAGTAAGTACTGAGTAAGAGAACAGTGCTCTTAAGCACTTCTCCCTAGGCATCTGAACAGCCTTCCTCTGAGAAAAGCCATACCCATCAAACTTTGAAAGGTTAGATGGCATGGCAGGTGCATTGCTCATCCATGAAATGTACATGGGGGCAACCTTTTACAAATTGATCTTTTCACCAGACCTACAGTAGGCTATATGCTTTTCTTAGAGGCTTTGTAATTGCTGCGTGCACATTTGGTTCTAGAACAGCACAGAAACAATAGTAGTGTTCAACTATTAGTGTTGTTCTCAACTGCAAAACTTTCGGGCAGACTGCATTATGTGCATGTGTTAATTTAACTCACAAAACCTCAGAGCCATTACACATCTCGTCCCTGCATACTCTTGTTACACATGACCTGTTGACTCCTGGTCTTACCTTTCAGCCCAGCAGGGCTTTCTAGCTGAGTAAGATGTAGGAGAGTTGTTTATGTCTGTCAGACTGAAGATGGAAGTGAGAAAAAAATGAGAGTCAGGTCAGCCACTCCAAAGGTTAAATAATTAAACGTTAGTCACTCAAACAAGATAGTGAGACAACAGTCGAAGGAAGGAGGGCTGTAACACACCACACACAGTCGACAGGGGCAAGAGAATAGCTTTGTTTAACCAATTCAGTGGGCTATTTAAAAGGCAGTAAAAGCTAATGTTAACGGTTTTAGAGGCTTTCACTTTTTTTGTCCACGGCATTGAGAACAGAATAATTTATGCTTAGATGGCACTAGTGGTACGTAATGAGGGACTGCTGTGCCCTCTGGGCAGAAACATGAACAACTTAGAGACAGTGACTGTGACTCATGCTAATATTTTAAATTCCTTAATGCTTTGAAATTATTTAGTGAGTTATCTTGGATTAACTGTGGCGCAGAGCCACAATGAAAGACAGATGAGTAGTAAATGTTGTTGTGTGTATACATTCTAGCAACTGAGAAAAGGAAGTGATTATGACTTTCCTTTTTCTGGTACAGTATGTCTTTAGAAATGATAGATGCAACATAAATCACATCTGATGGGGAAAAAAGGCGCTTCTGGCCGCTATGATCAAGAAAAACATTTTTTAAGGATGAAGGAGGTAGAGAGGGACTAAGCTACAGCATGTCCAACAGAAAAGATATTTAAACTAGAATTACTATGAGTGCTTTTACTCTTGTGGTGCTTGCAGGTGTCTTTGCTGAGTGTACAGTGAGCTACAAAGAGACACAGACACCAGTGATGGGGAGGACAGTGTGTTTCCACATTGTGATGCGTAATGGTCTGGGTGTAACACAAGTAGATGAACTGTAGCTCCTGCCCTCTACCTGTAGTGCCTTTCTCTGTCCTGGCCCTTCTCCCTCTCCTCGGCCCCAGACACCTGGCTCTGGTTCAATTCAGGGGACGGAGGGGGAGGGAATATGGGTGAAGTTGGGATAAACCGACACTGAGGGTGTGCAGAGCCTGGCACTCTACTCAGAGCAATGGAGTAGGCACAGTCAGGTGGCTTGGGAGGAACACAACAAGGACTAAAGGTCCTCTTTTTAGGTGCGACGGACACAGGAGAAGACGCTCTGGTCATGACGCTGAGATTTTTTCTCTGCCCTTCAGGGTCACTGGCTTTAGGGAGGATGTTGGCCATACACTTTAAGTTCAAACACATGTTAGGAGTGTCTGCTACAGCTGGAGCCACACTAGGATGACAAAATACAAGAGAGTAGGAGTCCAAAGGGAATGAAGAAAATAATCACACTTTTAAATGGTAGAAAAACTAGGGAGGAACTGCATGAGGGAAAAGGGGAAACTGTATCACGCTTGGGAAACTAGTTGGCCTAAAATACCTGTGAGCACCCTGTCTAGAGGACTCAGTGACTGGATGACTTTCATCATCTGCCTCTTCCTCGTCCTCCTCATCCTCCTCCTCCTCTGCCTCCTCCTCCTCTCCTTCCCCCTCCTCTTCCTCCTCTTCTTCCTCTTCTCTGTGGTGAGAGGAGGGGTCGAGGGTTGAAAGGAGAAAAGGGAGGATGTAGGCAGGCGGGAGGGGAGAGAAAGTGGACAGAGACAATATGAAAACGCAGACAGCAGAGGAAGGCATGGGAGAGACAACACACAGAAATGAGAAACACTGAAAACATGCTTGCTAGGAGAGACGACGCCTGAAAGATGTATGAGAAGGTTAGTAAGTTTTGACCACAGGCTTGCATGACAATATCTCAAAAGGTTAGAAATGGGTAGGCACAGGCAACAATTACACCTACATTCAAGTGCAATTTCTATGGAAACATTAATACAAAAAAATTACAAATATTAAAAACATCTCCCAGTTATTTAATTTGTTCATTAACAAGTGTTAGGGCTGTAGGAGATATCTTGTGTGTGTTTGAAATGATAGTCTGGAATACATTGTCCTACAGGAGTCTGTGGCCATTTGGCTATTTGGATCCCTCTTGGTTGTCTGGATTTCATTAACAACATGGAAAATGGCGATCTTCAAAGGTGGCTTGAATTTCCTGTGATGAACTGGAAGAAGCTAGTCTGGTATCAAATGACATACTGGACTGAATTTAAGTATATCTAAAGACCTGACTGCAACCAGGAATATTAGTACATAGGCTACTTGTTAATGTTATAATAACAAATGATAGGGGATTGACTTATGTGAAATTAGTAAAGACAGTGATCAGTGGGAATTTATAATACAAAAAGCAAGGTGACGTATAAGTTCAAACTTCAAGCCTTTTTTTTCCCCTCTTATGTATGACCTGTAATAAAAAGTGGAATAAACAATTTCCATAAAAGGAACTGTCTGGTTAAGTTTTTCTGGTGTTTTTATATGGCCACGCTAGTGTACAATTAAATAAGACTGCAATTTGAGTTTGTGTAGTCACAAAGGTTTGTCGTATATAAAACAGATGGCCTTGTGGAGTTTAAGTTTAATGCACTCTCACTGAAGGAAGCAAGACTTGAGACAGAGAGCAGATAGCTCATATCGTGTATTTACAGAGGCTTCCTCTTTCCATCAGTGGCAGGAGAATGTCTTTCACAGTGGGAAAATTAATTTAAATATAATTTTCCAGCAACGGTCTCCTCTTTGCCCTTCTTTAAATTGCTATATAATTAAATTCTCTGCTTCTGCTGTAGACAGAATAGACACATCTCTCTGAGACTGAAATATAATACAACACTTGCAGTTAAGACATTTCCTGTGAAACAGAGTTATACTCCGTGGGCCCAGGAATAATTTATGATTCCTTTTTAGTCGCTGCTATCTCTCAGGGTTTAAAATATAAAAGATCAAAACAAACCCTCCTGGCTGAACTTTTTAAAAATCAGGATCAGACCAAGTCCAAGCGAAAAAGGAAGCAAGGATAACACTTATTTTCTTCCACTTTTCCCTCTGTCCTCCCCCCGCCTTACCTTTCACTGATGTCTTCAACGCGTTGGCCACCAAAGGGCAGGAGGCTGCTTGCATGAGGGCTGCAGGGTGATGCTGGGGCAGAAGCGTGGCCTCTGCTATTCTGGAGGGAGTGTCTCCGGCTGCGTCTTCTCTCCAGGCCACGCCTCTCGTTGGTACCACCAACACTGGCCCGTCGACGGTCCTTGCGGCCGCTGGGAGGCAACTGGGATTCATCGTCTCCATCCTCATGGCGGAGAGTCATCTGAATCAAAGGCATCACACAGAAAGTGAGTAAATAAATGGTTTGTTTGCTGTTCATAAACACTTAATTTTTGGCTGCTGTATGAGTATGCGAGAAGCCATGTGACCTATGACCTATTATGAGACACACACACCTATTAACATTACGTTACAGCTTGTTGTTATCTAATAATGCGGGCTGTGTGGGGTTCCTCACCTCGTAAATGTTGAACTGTTCAACGAGGTCAAGGTCAGTGCCTTTCCTGCTCAGGTGTCTCTGGGCCATGGCTTCGATGCCCTTCTCCTCCAGACAGTCCACCATGTCGTAGTACGAGTCCTGGTCCGGGAGGCCTGCCAGAGTCTAAAACACAAACACATCCAATAAAAAAGAAAGAAAAATCTTCAGAGATTTAACATTGTCTCTGTAATATTTTAGAATAACTGTGAGAGAACAAAAATGTAACAATGAAAAAGGGAGTAAAATGTTTTACCTTGTATTGAAATGTAGTCTATATGCTAGCCAAATAAACTTCAATCAGTACTATCTCATGCGCTGTTATTGTCTGTATTTTGACTCCAGTGTAATTAGATCAAAATGTACTTGTGCACAGTGAAACGCAGGAAAGGTTCATTATGTACATGATACTGTACAATCCATACTTATTTTTAATTAAGGCACATTTTAGACACTTTTGTTGCTGCAGTAATCTGTTACAGTGACTTCTATACTTAATAAGGGGGGCTTAAAGGAATGATAGTTGAGCAATCACATGAACATCCAGATTGAATTTGCAACTGATTCAATCGAGCTGACAAAGAGGCCTGATAAGATCACATTTACATCTCACATGAGCAGACTTTTCCCCAAATCCAGATAAGAAACACAGATGTAGACTGCATTTTAATACAAAGTGTTAAACGGGTTTCAAAGATAGAGACCCAAAGACACAAAAATACTCTAATGGAGCAGAGCATGTTACAGGATAAGTAATTGGTATACTGTTAGTTGCTTGTTCTAGGTGGTATATAATTACTAACCTTATTTATGAGTGTCATTGCATACACCAGCAGCTCTGTATCCACTCCATCCTTCTCATCCAGGATCTCCATGACATTTGACCACAGTTTTATGCCTGCAGTAGAAAAATGGCATATAACATATTAATACATAACTACTCCAAAAATACAGCAAAAACCAGCTACCTGTATTTTACGTAAGCTAGATCATAATAAGGTCTTAACTTATCCTAATCCTTGCAGCTCCACTTGGATGCAGGAAAACAAAAATAGTTTTGTCATCTCATTGCTCCAGTAGGAGAAATGCCATCATAGGTGTCTCCCTCCAGAAAAGTGGCAGTGGCAAAATAGAGCAGGCGCATACTTGATCTCCAGTGAGAAAGAAGCAGCTGTGTGTGTCAGCCACAACGGTCAAGTCCATCCCCTTCTCATCAGGAGACTGGGGATCATGTTTGGTATTCTTGTGTAACATCACAAGTGACGGGATAAGACTGAGCTGAGACAGATGGACACCCGAGCCCTGCAATGCTGATGCTCAACCCCCTGTTGTACGCCGCAGTACAATGTGGAGCCTTTAGAGCGGCAGGTAACTCAACCTTACTGTAGACAGGAGTTGCAGTCTTTCTAAATAAGCCTCGTTCCATGCATGGTGAGGGAGCTGCTTAGGACAACTGATCTGACTGCATTGTAACAGGAGACCGTGATCTGTGGTCAGCTGAGCAGCACTACAGCCACCGTTCATGGCTTTTATTAGTGGAACTGAAGGAAATGTGGAAATTTTGATATTGACTAACATCCCAAAATACCTGTAAAAGCACCATATACACACAATTCTAGTAAAAAGTTGATTTAATAGAGCTTTGCATTAATTTCTCTATCTATATTTATGACATGTCTGGGTCTGGGTTTTGACAGTGTATTAGGTGTACTAGTTTGTTCACTCAGCTAAGTAAACTGACTGGCTCGTTAGCCTGGGCTCTTACCTCTTTTGGAATCCACAACATTCACAGCCTTTATGAGAAGGGCGGCGTTAGACTCGGTGTACTCCACAAACACCAGCAGCAGCTTTAGGGCCGTCTTCACCACCAGACGGAACTACACAAGGAGAAACAGTTAACAGCCAACACAAAAATCCCAATGTGACGACAACCCCTAAATCCAAGCACATAACACACAACCCACTTAATTTCAACTGTAAACTTTATATGTATCAACAAGACACAGACTAACAAATGGTATCATATTGACATATGAAAGCTTTTCCTGTCTGAACCGTCTTGAGAGGTTTGATAAGAACTTTGTGTGACTTTGAGCCAATATTAAATAGACATTTAACAGCTCATGGGAACATAATGTTCTGTACTCAAATAGTATGGAAATAGCATATAAGGAAAAATTAAATAAGGAAACAATCAAAATAAAATACAACTCCAATACTCTGGAACAACCTACAAAGAGAGCTAAAACAATTGGAGAGGAGTTTAATGGGACTGATACAAAGCAAAGTTCAATGTCAATGTTAATTAGCTTGAGAGTGTAAATCAACATCATGTCATTGGTGATAAAACCATCAGAGTTGATTTAACACTTCTGAACAGCTGCCACATTGAGCCACTATGAGAGTCAGCCACTATGACTAGACAAGCAACAACCCAATGATCATGGTCAAGACTGACAACTGATAATGGATATTTGCCATATAAAATGATTGGGAAGACGGGGTTTTGATTAAAAAAAGCAAGGTGGATGCCAAATATTATTTCAATATTTACACAGGAAAGCAGAAAAGTAATTAGTAAGAACAGAAAAAAGTAGGGAAAGAGAGGGTAGTCAACGTAGTTCCCTCATCTGCTGCAAATATGCTGCACATGTCAAAATCTGGCCACTAGAGGGCCAGGGGGCCACAATGACTGGGGGTTTGATAACCATGTTGACAAAGCAGTGAGGACTTTGGTATGACCTTTCAGATCACGTGATCATTTTAATTTTGTCAGATGGTGTTGCGGAGTTGATTTTACAGTATATCTGCTCTGTAGCTGTGGTAGAACTCTTATGTTCATATTCTTTACCTTGGATCCGACCAGGGTGTAAAGCCACTGGACCGTTTCATTGTGAGATATGAGGCCATTCATCCCATCCACATACAGCATTATTTGACCGAGAGCTGAAAAGACAGAAAGAGATGGACAAAGGAAGAGATGGGTTTTAGTTAATCATCTGCCATTTCAGTTTGTTTTTCTTTTTGTCATTAAAAACTGACTGTCGTTGTCCTGCTCAGCACCCAAAATAACTAGAACAGTGAATGCTTGCTCTAAAGTCACAGTGTCTGTTTTGAACACTGATCATGAATGTTCTTTCCAAAGAACGTTTGTGTAAATAATGTTGATGAAAATTAAAAAAAAAATGTTTAACATGTAACCTTAATGACTTCAGCCCATCCTATCTGTAAGTAGGACCTTGTCATTTGTATGTGACACCAAAAACTGATTTTTAAACAATTTTCTCCTGTGGTAGTCTGCCTGTATAAACTATCACCTACAAAGATACAAACAAAACGTGTATATTGTTAGTAAAAATGGTTAATGGTGTTCCTCTGCCTATCATAATTCAAATCTACATACAAACTGGAGCTGCTTTGGAGATAAAACTTGTTAAAAATCACAACAATTAGGTTAACGTAAAAAGAAAAACAGCACTAGCCCACTCATCCCTCAGGTCAGTGGACACAACTGGATGGAAAATATTTGAGCAGAGTGCCTCAGTGGATGCTGACTTGACTTCCATCTGTAACAGGATACATAAATAAGAACATAATAAGAGCCAAGGGATCTCAGTGGGGGGGGGGGGGCAGTAAAAGTGTAGGGCTTCTGTTAAAGAAGGAGATGGGGGAAGGGAGACAAAAACCGCTGGACAGGAGTGGAACCAACAAAAGCTCCATTTTAATATGTGGTCTTTTTTTAAAAACAGCATCTCATTTGCTCTCCACACACAGGGAGTTAATACATTCACAAAGAAGACCGCAGCAACTGGATGAGCTCAGCTTGAACCCGCTGCAACTTCAGGTGATACATTAGCTGACACGGGGAAAGAAGCTGAAGCATAAACATGTGAACACATTGAAAGTGGAACATTGGTGGAAGGCCTGTTTGACTATTTCTTGGCAGAAGCTATGATTTGGGGGAGGGGGGTAATACCTAAGAAACCTTTCCTGAAAAAGTCATGAAATTGCTGTCTGACAAAAGGTGATGAGCTTGAGCTGATCAAGTTCAGAGATGTATGAGTAGCTGGAGGATTCTTCATGGACTGCAAAGGATGATACACCAGGTGTTTTGAACTGTAAAATATCTAGGTAGAACTAACATGAAAACAAGCAGAGTTTAATCTTTGACCAACAACTACATAAAATACTTCAACAGACAACTCCTTAAAAGAGTGCCACTGAAGCTCCTTTGCCGTGTTTAAAACAGTTTCTTATGACATGTTATGATGAGAGGCTCCAGAGTCTGTCATATATTTTTCCTTTCCTCTTCTCTAGGGGTGCATGAAAATTGTGAATATGCTGTAGATAAGCCAAAATTCCCAGGTGCAGCTGCCGTGTGTACATGTGTGCATACGTGTGTGCGTGCGCTGACGGCCCACTGCTGCAGCAGCAGCAGCAGCGGCGGCGGCGGCAGTTCATCTTTTATCAATCAGGGTTAATTACTCACAACATGTCAGGTCAGAGCATTCCTAACAGTCCTCTCCTGCTGCGAGCTCAGAGCCGTGTGTCACAGCAGTCAGCAGCATGGACAACATGGCGAATCAAAGCAGACCACATCAGAGTGTGTTTATGAAAACATGATTAACTCCCTCAGTCAGCGCGGGCCAGAGTGTCACCCTCTCCTGTAACTCCCCCACTTTGTATGGGACCACTGCTGACAGCATGAGTGACAGCACTAATGACATGATGTACAGCTGGTCTACCGAGTCCAGAATGGATTCCTATGGTAAAAAGGATCAAACTAACATGTAAAAAGTGGCTCAAATAATAATTCTTCATACACAAACGCAAACAGCTGTGACTTCTGCTGGATGAGTAATGAGCCACACGCTTCTTTTCAAATTGGTAGCCGATGTCTGACCCACAATATCATCCCAGTGCAGACTTTTATCTCTTGTGTGCACCTGTGTACAGTATCTGTACCCGTGAGGTTTTGAGGAATGTCCATTGAAAACAGGGGTGAGAAAAGATAGGTGGACTTAATGAGGCTTTTAAAAGTGTTATTACACAACACGAATGTTCAGCTGCTGACAGACGAGACATTACTGATTGTTCCCAAAAGTCAACCACAAAATGAAATTACTTTTAGATCATTTCTGACATGTTATCATAAGACATCATTTCAAGGTACCATCGATGGTGGCCTTTCCTCTTAAGAATGTAGCCAAGTAAAATAAAATCAGAATGAACGTCTATATCACATGTCAATTTAATATAGTGAGTAGTTAAGATACAGAAATGAGATGATATTCAAACACTTATTAACCACAACAGAAACCACACAAACACGGCCTTTTCTCTCAGATTCATTAAAACTGCTGCTTCATGGAATTATTCAATGCCAGCTGCACAATTCAACTTTGAGTACCAGAAACCGCATCGACTGCAGTTACCCTGTGAACAGTTAGGTAAAACGATACTGTAACGGTTTAAAAAAAACTAAATTACCTTTAATTATGGGAGACTGCAACCTTCAGAGTCTGGTCAGAAACAGTTTAAAGGAAACATCTAATCACTCTCAAAAAGCACATTTTTGAACTTCAAATGGAACACACTTGTGATTAAATTAGTCATGAAAGTGCTCCAGAAAATGAAAAGTAACCTGTGTAGTTGCAGTTCAGGCTTTGAAAGTGTGATCAAATCATTATACTACGCCATACCTTCCCAGCCATGTCTCTTTGTGGATAGCTGAGACTCTGGGTCCAGAACCTGGGATTTGTTTTAACGTCTACAATAGAAGGTCATCAATAACTTTGGAAGAGGGTTAATAAAAAGAACATGTGAGTACTGAGTCTGTACAGGACACCCTCCACTTCAAGTACTGATCTGGGGCCAAAACTCTGGGCCTCCCTTGGAGTAATCATGAGCAGCTCTCCCATACCTCACACAAAGTACAACAAAAACATTGCTTAGGCCCTCTGCATGTATGTCACGTAATGAGATGCTGGCAGACAATGAGCGTCCTCAGAAGCACGGCTATTAGAATTTAAATGTAAGCCATTATAGGAAAGGATAGCCGAGGAAGAAAAATTTAGCTAAAAAGAAACTTGGAAGTGTTAAATGAGCAGCCTGGCACCTGTGCAGCACTCTCACACTCCATTTCTTTCAATACTTAACATACATTTGCCTTAAGAGTAAACAGATCAATATGAATGACATCGAGCTGCAGAGGGGAACCACTGCGCGGAAGAGACAGACCCTGACACAGTAGTGTCTGAACCAGAATTCTGCGAGAAGTAAAACCTTCAGCAACTGAGGTCTGGTGGAAGTGTTTCTTCAGGGCCTCTCCCTCTCATAAACCACAGCAATTATCTTCCACAGCCCGGGGAATGTGCAGGAAGGGCAGCTCCCTGACCACTGCCGAGGTGAGAAGCACTCTGAGGTCTGGTAGGTAGCACCAACACGAGCCAGTTGACCCATACGTAGACATCACTTTCCCCCCCTTTTTTTAAAAGACAACCTTATCTGTGAAGATGCAAGAAATCAACTCAACAGCTTCCCTCTACAAAACTGCTCACTCCCCTTCCACTCACCACTCTGCCACTTTGGTTACACTTCCATGAACGGAATTTATTAAAACTGGGTCAGCCAAACTGTCTGTCAGTGTGCAACATTTATTTCACCAGGACTTTGGGATAGGGGCCAAATCTCCATCCCATTCAGTGCAACTTAGAGCCCCCTTATCTTGTTATGCATTAGTCGGCAGCTGCACTCAGGTCTGAAGTGTGCCTCCCTGTACCCACATGAGCTGGACATGCTTTACTGCTACTACAAGCCTGGAAAATACTTTTTTATGTAGATTCTTGTTCTAGTATATCACTATAATTATAGTAAATTATTTGCATTTCAAAAGTGGCGTGTCCACACTGCATTCTTGGCAGGACGCTAGTCACTAATTTTGCTATAGTTTTTCCCCACATTGTGCCCAAGCACCACAATTTAAGTAAACATTTAAAGGTGGAATAAGCGATTCTAGAGAAATCCAGCACCGTGACAAATACCATGTCTATAGAACGAAAAATGACACAGCAAGTAACCTAACTAATGTTAGCTAAGTTGTGGGTTAGCATACTTAGCATACTACTGCTGCTGCAATACTAACATGCAGAGAGGACGAGACAGTCCCAGAGCCAACACACCAGCTCCAAACAGCAATCCTCACAACTCTCCTGCTGCTATAGCTAACATCACAGCAGCAGCATGTCTTGGTAAACTGGAAAGTAACCTGAATGTCCGTGGGCAAGTCATTAAACGTTACCTGACACAAAAATCATGGTAGGAATAGTGTTGTGCGGCGGGGTGCGGGCCACTTTTTCAGTGCACACACAGAACAGGGCAGCTAGCGGACCATGAGGAAATATTCACTGAATTTGACAAAAACACTTGTATTAGAATTGCTTACTTCACCTTTAAGTACAAATATATATTTTTAAATATATATAAATATATATTTTATATTTTTTCAGCTCAACAAGCTGTTAACACAAAATTGATGTATTAAGTTGTTACAGTAAACATGTTAGCTGCTGTGAGAAAAATATCTAGCTAGTCTCCAGGAAGTGTGCCATGCATTGTTGCCTGCTATAGTACCGTGAAAGTTAACCAAAACATTGACCTACAGGACTCTAAAAAGACTCTGTAGAGATGAGGGGGACTGCAGAGTCAACTGAGGATTCACCGTTTTAACATTACAAGTTACAAATTGTTAATGTGTAGATATTAATTAGTGCAGTTTTATAAAATACTATCTGTTCGGATGTTTTTCTGTCATCGGTGTCATAAAAACAAATTACAGCATGCCTCTTAAGAGTCTGTCGGCCATAAAAAGTTTACTAATCAGGCCAATAAAACAACTCTTACTGTATATGAAATGGATAAGACATGTTCATGGGTTATGTTTCTTT